AACTTTTAATAAAACCAATAGAACCAATAGAAAATTTATTCTATTGGTTATTCTAATTTTTATTCAATAAACCAATACTGAATATGATATATATTAAAAGAGAAATTTTCGTTGCACCCTCTGTTTTCTGAAGATCTTTATGCAGAAGTTCAAAAATACCGACCAATTGCTAATACAATTAGAGGAGATGCAGCACATTTCTATGAACAATTAATTTCAAGAAAACATGAAGATTCTTGTTGGTTTGTTGAGGCCACATGGGAAAAAGAAACAAATTCATTAACTGGTTTGTTCTGGATGAGTCCAGAACAAGTATTATTGTGGTGTGATTTTTGTGAAGTAATTGGGCATGACAATACTGCCGGGACTAATAGATATCGCATGCCTCTTTCTTTATTTGTAACCCAGGATGATAACATGCAATCGTGTATTGTTGCTCAAGCTTTTTTAAGTGATAAAACAACTGAAACATATGAATAGATTCTTCGTATGACCAAAAAAGCAACCCATAATCGAATGCCAAATATAATCATAACAGATGGTGATCCTGCTATGAAACGGGCAGTAATTACAGAATACCCAGAAACACAGCACTTTATATGCATTTGGCATATTAAAGAAAATTTTAAAAAAATGCTTCATGGCAAATTAGGTAATCAGGTAATCAGTTTAATGATTTCTATTCGGTATTTTGGCAATGCCGTAATGCCGATATGCCTGATATTTTTGAGCATTATTGAAATAAACTTATCACAAAGTACTCTATAGCAAAACAGTATTTAAAACATCAATTATATAAAAGGCGATCTTCTTGGGCATGTGCTTTCAGTGCTTTAGTATTTACACTTGGCATTCAATCAATATCCTTTGTTGAGAGCCAGAATTCATATATTAAACGTGTCATAAATAATAGCAATATATCACTTTGTGATATTGGTAAAATATTAATAGAGCGTAGTGAAGAGGAACGAAAGCATAAACTTATTGAAGAATGGAAAAATAATATTCCTAATACAACATGTATCTCTACTGTTTTTCCAACTATTAAGGCATTAGTCAAAAAATACCTGAGGCCGAATGTTTCTTGATTTCTAATTAAGCAAATGAAGGAAAGTATATACTATGTCTCTAATCGCACTACTATTGAAGCTGAATCTCTCAAAGTTCAGGAGCCCTCACAAATTGATGATTTTAATAATGAGTGCAAAATACCTTTTAAAATACCTTGAAAAAAATACAATTGAAGAAGTTTGGAATATATCACGTATAACAAGTCAAAAAATCAATCACATTGTATTTCTTTTAGAAAATGTATCATACATGTGCACTTGTCTTATGCAACAAAATCGAGGACTTGTTTGTTGACATTTTTTTAATCTGTTGAATATAACCAATAAAGCTCAGTTTAGCTTATAGTTAATTGCAAAACGCTGGATTCCAAAAAATCAATGGCATAACGTATCAAAAGAACGTGTATATCGTGGTCAACGATTTAACAATAATACTATGAGTTTGGACATTAATATTAATATTCTGGATAGTAATATAACAAACTTAGAGAGTAATGAAGAAAAATTTAAATGGTTGTGTCCATTTAATAGTAGTAATGACATTGTTGAAGAGACTACTACAAATGATGCATTTGTTGAAGAGCAACTCTTCTACAGAAATGTTTGGGGTCTTGTACGTACTGCCATGGATAAGTGTTTGCAGCACCGTGATCATGAATTTGTACATTTATCAAGAACTATTTGAAAAAAATTCATAGACAAGAAGAAGAGCTTGTTAGAACTCAAGAAGCCCATAACAATATGTCATCTAATAATTTTACTGAGCAACATCAAAATACTATCAGTACAGAGAATGTAGAGTTGTCAACACAATTTAAAAATTCTCGCAAAGTGTTTGTAAGAGTAAGGCCTAAATCTGCAAGTCATCGTAACCAAACATCGGGGAGTGCAAATAACAAAAAAAAACAAGGAAAACAAGGAAAATGTGGATATAAGTGCAGAATATGTAAAAAGTCAGGTCATAATGCTGCAACAAGTTCAAAGATAATAAAAAGTGATGAAACCAATGAGACTGATGAGACCGATATAACAGAAGAGTAAAATAATATTAAGGGAAAGTAACTTCTGCATATTATTTGTACATATATGTACTACTGCAATTTCGTGTTGGTTTTACTAAGAGATGAGTATAACTAGTTTATTGCTTATGTCGCTAGTTATTATATAAGTTTTATCTAGCTACAGCTTGAGCTATAAAGGTTTTATTGCATTTCTAGTTTTTAGTTGTTGATTATACGTTATGTTGCAATATTTCAAGAATATATTACTGTATAAGCATTAAATAATACCTGGCTACGTGCTAATTAATTGACCATACGCAAATATGTCACGTGTTATTTCGAAATAAGAGTCGATTTTCTAAATCCAATACAGTCAAGCTTCCATAAATGCACATTGTTAGATAAAAGTGTATTTATATCGATTTTCTAAATCCAATACAGTTAAGCTTCCATAAATGCACATTGTTAGGTAAAAGTGCATTTATACGTATATATTTACGAAGCATAATCTACATATAATGATAATATCATCATAGAGAAAGTGCATGTTAAGTGCACTTATAAAGTGTGCACATATATTGACTATATATCATTTATCGCAACAATAAATTATGTGCTACATTAGGATGTGTATTACTTATGAGCGCTAATCATAAGTTATTTTTGTCAAATTTTTGAAATAACACACATGAGTATTATTTCGTGCTTATATAGTACGTGTGTCAATTGTTACCTAATCTAGAATAAAATTTAGGATCAGAGATAGAGATTGTACTTATCAAAAACATCTCTAACTGAGTATTATTAAACTACCTGTCCGATATGTAGAGGTTCAAAGTGTATTTAAAAAAGCAATTTGACATTAGTAGTATTGTTACACAATTTATTTATATATAGTACTTTAAATAAATACGTATAGTAGTATATAGTATAATACAGTGTTGTTCACTGGAACGTTCCAGTGGGAATTACTGGAACTGGAAGATCATTGGACTTAACTGGATGGAATTGGA